TTAGGCGGCATGAAAAGTGGGCAAGAGAGATTACAGATACCTAAGTATCCGCGTGCTCTACACCGCTCGAGGGCCCTCTTCACTTTTTTTTTTTTTAAATGCAAATACTACGTCTTAAATATTAATGTGCTTAGCGTAACACTTTTGAGGAGAAGGGAGAGCGATTTGCTCTCCATGGAAAATCAGCCCCGCTACTTACTTACACGCCACGCGGTTTATTAAATTACTTGTGAAACGTGCCTTTTCCCGATGGTTACATCCACTTTATATCCTTTATTAAATTGTTATTTAAATTATTTTAAATTCGCATAACGCTAAGAGTTTTTCATCCCTTGTCGGGATGAAAAGGATGTACACGAGAAATTTATGGTCTAATAAATTTTCTTCCCCCCTATTCCTTATTTAAAGAATATATCGTTATATTCGAGATATTTTCTATTCCAAAATTTCCTATTTACTTCTATTCTAGTAAAGCAAAAAAAAAAAAAAAAAAAAATTCTTCGACAATCGATCAACACAAATCCTGAAACAAATACGAAAAATTGAAAGAAAAAAAAAAAAATTCGCACGCGTGAAAGGAGGGGGAAAAACATTAATTCGGCGAAGGAAGAATTACATCCGTTTCCGGAAATTCGTGAAAGATCAAAGCGATGTTGAATCTTTGAGGAAGCGAGGGGGCGGGGAGGAGGGTAGATAGCCCGATCCCGGGGAAATCGAGAAAAATTTACTTCCTCATTTTCGAACGGATACGCGATACAGTTTTAGAGCCCTCCCCCCTATAAATATTTGCCGACCGCGAAATATTTGGAAACATCGTAACGACCGCGATATTTCGGTAAATTTGGCAAGTATTCCGCGGTTCGGTTGGCATTCGGGTCGATCGCGCGGGATTAATAAAAATAAATCTGAAGATTACCGCCGTGCCGCCCATCGTCTCGCCCACGTCTCGCCTAGATTGATTTCTGTCGTGGTTATCTGTTCGTCCATCTCTCTTTCTCTTCTCCTCTTTCCTCTCTCTTTCTGCTCTCTCTGCAAATGGACCGACGCTTTTTTTTTCGGTCGTGTTCTCTCGTGCTCGTGTATTTTTTGAGAAAAATAAACCGACGACGGATAAATTACTTTGCGTGTCGTGACGGTACGTAAGAATTATTGGTCGGAATAATTGTTAAAATAAAACTTCACTCGTGTGGGGTGAAATTTAAGGGGGTGGTCGATCGATCGAAGTTTAGAAAATTTGTATAAGAATGCAGTCGGGCAGTAAGAAAGAAGAAGGGATTGGGAAATTTAATTGATTTGTTTAACTTCGGTGACACTTTGGTGGTGCTATTCTTTGCTGTTCTCCCTCTCGGCAAACACATGATCAAACGCGCCAAGAACTTAATCCTCCTCAAAATTACTCGGCAAGGTGATGATCCTCTAATTATTCCCTAATAGTCTGGCCTCAAACGACGTCGCAATTTTATCTCATCCTTCTCTCTCTCTCTCTCTCTCTCTCTCTCTCCTCCCTCTCTCCGCATCGAACCACTCGTTCGACTTTAAAGCTGTCCTGTAAACGAACGAGACTTAATTCCGCAAGCAACGAGCGAGCCTTCCATAAAACCAACAACAATAAAAGCGACGAGAAAGAGAGAGAGAGAGAGAGAGAGAGAGAGAGAGAGAGAAGAAACGAAAGGGTAGAA